GTACACTATTTACATTATTCGGACTATTGTCCTCATCTTTGTCACCATATTTATTACAACGTTTCGTTCTTTCAGTATCTGTCTATATATCTGAGAAAACGTATTATGTACACTATTTACATTACTCGGACTATTGTCCTCATCTTTGTCGCCATATTTATTATAACGTTTCAGCCGTTGTACGCTCCAGCTTTCTTCAGGTGGTTGGAATGTCGAGCTGAACCCTTTATTTCGCTCACTAGGGTAGAATATTTAGAATGTAGAATGTCTAGTTCCACGTGCCGTGTTTAATGAATGTCAGTTATCAGTTATCTCCTGTTTATTCTCCTCTGCCTTAACCAGGTATTGAACTCACACTCTTTGGATCCTGTCACCGGATCTAACCAACGCCTTTATTCACTGTGAGTACACGGGCTTCAGTGGCAATCCCTGTTTTGTTTTTAATTTTATTAAGCAGTGAAAACAAAAACCGGCTTGAACTGATAATTCCTACAAAAGAAAGATGTGCCTCCGACAGGAATCGAACCTGCGACCTTTATTTTTTTTTAATCGGGGAAATCATTTTTCCAGTCAATGTGTGCCTTTACCTGGTTTCGTTACGGATTTTTTATCCGACATTATTTCTTATTACTTTACACGTTGTTTTTAGTGGGTACACGTTTTTCAGTTGCTATCCTTGTTTATATATTTATTTTCTTAAACAGTGGAATTTCTAACAGCCGTCCTAAAATGAGAAGTTATACGAAAGAAAAATCGAAATTGCGTCCCTTTTTTAAAAGAAGGAGGAAAGAATAAATCGTACCAGAGAATTAGCAATATGAATCACAGACATATTACATTTAGACTCAGTAAAAATGCCCTATACTTACAAAGGGAAGGTTGCTTAGACTTAATATAAAGGGACTACAACAATTCTAAATTATGTCTCGGCAAACCTCTCTTTGTAATCAAAAGGAATAGCTGTTGTGTGTAAATTTAATCGTAAATTGTTATTCTCTGGTAGCATTTAATCTGTCCTTCTTTTAAAAAAATGTGGCGCAGGTTCGATTCCTGTCGGAAGCACAGTTCTTCTTTTCACTATCTGTATATGTATGTATCTGTGTGTGTGTGTGTTTGAATGAAGACAAAAGGAAAATTTATCTTGTCAACACGTTTCTGACTGACTTCATCAAAGCAAATGTGAGGATTTAGAATAGAGAAGCAAGAATGCTGATAGTTTTTAGAAACATTTAAATTTAAGAGACGGTTATAAATATTCATCAGGTTAACTGAAAAGTCTCGGTAACCTATGGAAGAGGCTAAGTGACATAATTTTCTTGTATTTTTTTTAAACATTTTTACAGTCATCTATGTTGGGATAGAAGTAATTCTTTTAGGAATGGAGATATTTGAAAAAAAAAAGACCAGGATGCAGATATCGTCACTCTCCTTTTGCCTTCACACACACACACACACACACACACACACACACACACACACACACAGAGGTTCAAATGCACTATAACGTTTAAATAATATATATATATATATATATATATATATATATATATTTATATTTATATATTTAAATGAGAGAAAATAGCTCCTCCACTTTCATTAAACTGAGCTTAATTTTCTATGTAGCGTAGATCTGACACGTAATTGGTTGATCAACACAAATCTATTTTTAATTGGGACCTTGTGTTTGCTCAGCTACCTTATCTTTCGAAAAGTGCTAACACATTACTTTTGAAATTTTATTCAAAATCATTTAATCCCCAGTTACTTACCATCGCCTGAAGAGGCACAAAGTGCCAAAACACCAAAGCTATTATGTAGCGCTTTCAACATGTTTTTGTTCTAATCTCCTATAATATATATATATATATATATATAGTGGGGGAAATAAATATTCGTACACTTGAAAAATTGTATTTTTATAAATGTAAAAGCCTTAAATAAAACAAATCTCGGCACATTTTTATGTATAAAGACACATACTATTAAAAATAATAATAAAAACTTAATTAATTCTTATTCTAACAGAAATTAATGCATTTTTAAAATTCTAGCTGGTGAAAAAAGTATTCGTACAAATCAATTATTAGAATAAAATAATCAATTAATTATGAAAAAAGTATATTCTAGAATGTTCCAGTAATGTTATCAGTAATTATAGTTAACGCTATTAGCCATTATCAGAGCATTCTGCAATTTCTAGTCTTACGAGAAGGTTCTAATAATGCCTAAAGGTAAAGAATTGACTATTTCACAAAAAACAACACATTTTGTCTCTTTGGAAAGATGGGAACAGTTACAGAACGATTTCTAACAACCTGAATATTCCTTTTACTACAATTGCTTCGTTCATTGCAAGGTTTAAAACTCGTAACAGCGTCGAAAACCAAAGACGAACTGGTGCTCCGAGGAATATTTCTCTAAGATCAGCAAGGATATTAGGACGCCAGATCCAACAAAATCCACAGGTTACCCGAGAAGAGCTGCAGAAACATCTGCGTGCATTAGGGATTAAAGTAACCAAGCGTACAATAAGTAATGAACTACACAAAACCAGTCTGAAATCACACATCCCAAGGAAGACTCCACTGCTCTTGAAACGACACGGAGATGCTAGGCTAAAATTCGTTAGAGAGCATAAGGATAAAGAATATTCGTTTTGGGAAAAACGTACTATGGACAGATGAAACTAAAATAGAGTTGTTTGGTCATAATTATCGAAATCATGTGTGGAGGAAGGACGGTGAAGCCTACTTACCAAAGAATACGTTGCCAACTGTAAAGTTTGGTGGTGGCAGTATCATGATCTGGGGCTGTTTTTCTACAAAAAGTGTTGGCAGAATATCAATAATAGATGGCAAGATGAATGACGAAAGATACCAGAAAATCCTGCAAGACAATTTAACGCATTCTGTTGAGAGACTTCGGCTACCTCCTGATTGGGTTTTCCAACTGGATAATGATCTTAAGCATACCGCTAGATCTATAAGGAAATGGTTAGCTGAAAGTAACGTTGATGTCTTGCAATGGCCAAGTCAGTCCCCAGACTTGAACCCAATCGAGAATTTATGGACGATATTTGAAAGTTCAAATTGGGAAAAGAGCACCAACAAATATCAAGAATTTGAAGACAATATGCCAAGAAGAACGGGAGAAAGTACCACTCAATGTGTGCGAATCATTAGTTGAGACGTACATGAATAGACTGGTAGCTGTTGAACTCAATAAAGGATATTCCACGAAATTAAATTAAGTTAATATGCTTTTTTTGTTTTGTACGAATACTTTTTTCATCAGTTAAAATGAAAAAAATGCATTAATTTCTGTTAGAATAAGAATTAATTAAGTTTATTACTATTTTTTAATAAAATGTATCGTTACACATAAAATGTATCAGAATTTGTTTTAGTTAAGGCTTTTACATTTATAAAAATACAATTTTTCATGTGTACAAATATTTATTTTCCCCGACTGTATATGTCAAATGTTAAAATGTTTATCTAATTCTTCCTCCAAAAACCCTACGTACATCTCTCATATCTTATGCCTTTACTTTCCCACTTTTATTTCCTTTCCCCTTTCTTTTCCTTTTTTCCTTTTCCACATATCATTTTCGTTGAGTTGACCGATTAAATAAATCAATGTCTGATCCTTACTCCCCCCTCCTCCTCAATATTAAGTATTGCAATAAAAGTAAAAATAAATTTTAAAACTCTCACTCCCCTCTCTAAACTCGACCACGTCTCGCACACTATTCCTCACCGCCCTCTATAAATAATATATATATATATATATATATATATATATATATATATATATATATATATATATGTATGCTGAACTCTACCGTTGTATTCAAAGTATGAGCTTCAATCAGGTCAGTTCCTAGGAACCGATTACCCAGACACGAGCACATATGATTTGATAATAGTGGTGAATGATTTGGGCAGAGCCAACCAGACATTATATATATATATATATATATATATATATATATATATATATATATATAAGAACTTGGTAAACCGAATGGGTAATTCCAAGGAGGATGAAATCCTGAGAGCTCAATGTGAATCCAGAGCTAATATTTAATGAAAAAACAGACCACTTTAAGGTACCATTACAATAATTTATTTCACCAAAATCCTTTTTGAAGGACTACGGACCATCAGGTAACACTTCCAATAAAGAAATGAAAGGAAAAATGGGATTAGAAATTGATGGGTAGTCTAATTTTTATAATTTATCAGGGAGGGTGATCAACGAGACATGGTAGAGTGTAGGGAGGGGTAAATTTCATATCTCTCTTAAGCATGCTTTATATTGGGGTAGGAGGAGTGACCTAATCGTGACCTATTTAGATAGCTAACTTAACGGAAATGATATATGAGAATGGGAGGTAGTGGGGGAAAAGAAAATGAAAAATGGAAAGGAGATAGACAACATATATATATATATATATATATATATATATATATATATAAATATATATATATATATATATATATATATATATATATATATATATATATATATATATGATAGTCGCTGAAAGTTCTAGCTTGACCAAAATGCACTTTACCTGCTATATAGCACGTTGTGGTCAGAATCTGGGAATGACCCGGGCTTAGAACTTTTAAGAACCCTCATCTTGTATATAAGACTATTGACAAAAGCCAGGGTTTCATCTGAGGATTTTCAGAGATATCGCTTCTTGGTACAGGACAATCTTTCCATAATTACTCTCCTTTCGTTTGATTTTCTGTCGTCGTAAAATCTTTCATTGAAAAAAAAAAATACTTCCTCTAACATTAAGAGACAATCACAGATATTTCGTTTCTGCCTGAGTTTTTCACCTGGTCAAAATATTGTGCGAGAACGGAACCTGGTTGCAACGGATTGTAAGTTAAGCTTGGTAACCATTGCCTACGACGCGTGATCCGAAGATAAGGCATCAGCTTCAACTGCCGCTTGTAGCTTGTATATTTCATTCATTCTTGCCGATGGGTGGGATTTTCAACCAATCCATTAATCTCAAATACGGCCCGCTGCCCTCAGTTCCTGTTTTGGCAATTGGCCAATGTTCCATTTCATCGTCAGGGCGCGCCGTTTCTATTTTAGGAACCGTTCTTCTTTTTACTAAGTCTCAGACGGCATTGATTCTACAGACAAATTTACTGGCCAGAATACGGCGCAACAAAAACGTATATTTATTGACTATGAGATGCAAAATGCTATTTTTTCTTTCATATATATATATATATATATATATATATATATATATATATATATATATATATATATCATATATATATATATATTCATATATATACATATATATATATATATATATATATATTCATATATATATATATATATATATATATATATATATATATATATATCATGATCTGATGGTCTGCGTATCGTCCAGCCTTGTTGGAGACTGAGTTATTTTTTTTATCATTTACGCATTTGTTTGAAATATGAATAATGGGATTGCTTCAAACCCCCGGCGACAAAAAACTGCAAAATATACAGATCTGTCCTTTACACATGTCCGTATTAAAATTTGTAGTGATACAAATTTCGAGCATTTTGGATTTCACACTTCGCTAAACACTTCTACTGTGTGGCCAAATATACTTTTTAATCAATCTCACGATGAACACTCAGTCGCATATTACTTTAAACGTTAGTTCTGGTTGGTAACCATGTTTGAGTAGACGCCATGTTTTTTTTAAAACTTTTAACTAGTGATATTTACAGTGTGAACATTCGATGGATTTAAAAAAAAATATGCTGTCATGCATTTTTAAAAATAGAGTTTAGAGTAGGTACAGAAACAGAAAATTTCTCGGACATTTATTATAAAACAGAGCATTTATTTAAATATTTGTAACTGTAACAAGAATGTATAAACATAAAAATGTCTTACAAATATATATATATATATATATATATATATATATATATATATATATATATATATATATATATAAATGAGACGTTTAGCCATCTTGATACCGTTTGTCGTAATAATCACTGAAAAAAATACTTTGAGTTATTCAGCTAGAAAGACAACAGGTTTAAATCGTTTTGTGTCAGCTGCACTATGTCTTCCCACGATGTCTTCAATGGTGAGACGAAAAAGATCATTCAGTCCTTCAGTAATAATACCAACATTCAAACTCTGGCTTCCATCTTCAACGTCCATTCAAGAAGCATCAAGAGAACAGTGAATAAGTTTTAAAAAAAAAGGATCAGTAGAGAGGAAATCTAGATCAGGATGTTACAACAGAAAGAGGGTTAATCATTTCAACTTAGACCTAAAGAAATCAATTAGAAAAGATCCAACTCCATCCAAAAGACGTTTGGCACGTGAGAGAGGAGTTTCAGCTATGACTGTCCAAAGAGCAGTGAAAAAAACTTGAAAATGAAATCGTATGTGAAACCTGTTAGGCACTTTATTACTCCAGGACAGAAAGCTAGAAAGTTAGATAGGGCGAAGATAATCTTGAATAAGTTATAATGTGATCCTGGAAAGAAATATATATTTGAACTTAATTTCACTCCTTCATGAGCTTCCGATCATTAGCTATGATTAATTAATGTTTAACATGTCATTTTCCTTTATGATCGATTTCGTCACGATTCTTTTTTAAGCTTGGAGGGCAATTATACATTCTTAATGCTCAAAGTAGAATCTAATATTATTATAAAATCTCAGAAAATTCCAGTAAGATATATTTAATCATTTCTAAGATACAACGGTTCAAAGCTTAATCTAACAATTAGATAATTTTGCTGTTAAACGATTTAGAAAATTTTGCTGTTACACCTGATATATTGCTTTAAAATATCGCATAAATGCATATTTTAACACTAAAGCAGGTGTTTATTTGAGGTATTGACCGGTTGACAGATTGATTGACAGATGGAAGATTACCTATTTTTTATCGACGGTGAAAATTGAGGAATATAACGTGAGCGCCTTTTTTTAATACAATTTTTAACAAGCCAGTAATATTAAAAAATTAAGAAAATATTCTCCATAATCTAATGTTTTATTGAATTTTAAATATTTCGACCTTAAATTTACTAAGGTTATCGCTCTTATATTCTGATATTGTCATATATATTGCCTGTATTGGGCACGTTTATGCACACAGACAAAAAAAAATAATTCAAAATTGTAAATAAAATATTGGGTGTCGCTGAATTGTAGTAAGCCTTTCCATTTATGATTAGCAAATATAGTATTTGCTTGATAACAATATCACATAACCGGTACAAAATACAGAAATTTAATAGATTTCAAACTTTGTAAATTTTTCTAATTAAAATTGAAAAAAATTAAAACAATTTTAGTAAAAATTCATTATTCATCGAATATTCTTTTCTTAAAACAATTGTGTCCATAATATATGTTTATCCATAAAAGCAATTAAAAGCAACATTTATCTATCTGTCTATTTATCTATTTCAGTCTGTTTCTTCCTATCTGTTTATCTATCTTAGTCATTTATTTCTTGCTTGCTTGCTTCCTTTCTTTCTTTCTTTCTTTCTTTCTTTCTTTCTTTGCATCTCAGTATGTTTATTATCTATCTATCTATCAGTATGTTCATTATCTATCTATCTATCTATCTATCTATCTATCTATCTATCTATCTATCTATCTATCTATCTATCTATCTAGACCTGTCTCTTCGGGTCTCGTCTCAGCTAGTTAAAATCTATCTATCTATCTATCTATCTATCTATCTATCTATCTATCTATCTCAGTATGTTCATTATCTATCTATCTATCTATCTATCTATCTATCTATCTATCTATCTATCTCAGTATGTTCATTATCTATCTATCTATCTATCTATCTATCTATCTATCTATCTATCTAGACCAGTCTCTTCGGGTCTCGTCTCAGCCATTTTCATCTATCTATCTATCTATCTATCTATCTATCTATCTATCTATCTATCTATCTATCTATCTATCTATCTAAACCAGTCTCTTCGGGTCTCGTCTCAGCCAGTTAAAATGTACGTGTCTATCTATCTATCTATCTATCTATCTATCTATCTATCTATCTATCTATCTACCCGGAAAGAAATGTGTAAACGCCAGAAATCAAAGAAAATAATAATAATAATAATAATAAAGCAATGTTGGGAAGATAAATAGAATGTATCAATGTATAATAGCAAAAAGTTTTGCGTGTGTGTCATTTTGGTTTCAGAGCAAATTACATTTAATTTCTTTTACGTCCATTTTGTCAAGTCTTTGGCACATGCTTTGTAGCTTATTATTAGACATGGAGTTCATTTTTAGTTTTAGTCTTTTTTCTCAAGATATTTCAATTAGATCCTAAAAATAAATGGTGGACGTTCTCGGTAAATTTGAGATTCAAGGGTTGGGAGAACGGAAAGAAAAAAAAATGGATTGGTTGGTTCGTTCTTTTTTGTTGTTGTTGTTGTTCTTGTTACTATTGCCGGCCTTTCGCTTCATCCGGGCATTTGTCTCCTCCTCCCCCCTCCCTCCCTCTCTCTCTCTTCCTCTCTCTCTTCTTTTCGTTTCTTCTCACACAATCAAACAAAGCCTGCTTTTAATTAAGCAATAATTGACAAACAGATTAATCGCTGTATTATTTATAGCTGCAGCGGATAAATTAAGATAAGCCATGATTTATCGGAATCAGACGGAAGTGACAAAGAGAGGGAGGCTGGCCAAAGAAGACAGATCAACAGCTAAATATTCACATTAAGTGAATAAAAACAAATGTATTATTTCCCGCCTCACATAAAAAAGAAAGAACGAACTATATTCTCCTTATTCTTATTTTTTATTTTTCTTTACATCGTTTGGCCTTTCTATCAAATATAAGCGCCAAACAATAATAATAATAATTATTATTATTATTATTGGGTTGGTGCATAATTATCAGGCGATTTTAAACAGTATTTATTATGAAAAAAGAAACAACAACAATAACATTTTTAAATGAGAAGGATTATCAACATGCATTTTTAGAACCTGAAAATAAAATAATATTTTTATTTAAAAAAAAAAAAAGTAAATAAAACAGCAATTTTTATTAACAAATAACTAGCCCGGAAAAACGCCTGATAATTATGCACCAACCCCAAATTTCTTTTGATTTCTGCTGTATACGCATTTCCTTCCGGGTCCCAACAAGAGACCTAAGGTCAGAAATAGCTTCATGACATTTTCTACTGAGAATTTTTGTATATATAAAAAAAAAGCTCTTCGTAATGTATTAGTTGTATATGTAAGTTCAATTTTTTGTACTTCTTTGAGGAATGGAATCAGGATTCATTTCAATTCGTCTATTTGACCCTTTTAGAATCAACCCGAGGACTCCAACTACTCCTGCAGGTATTGATGTCCTCATGTGCCACATTTTTTTTTATTTCCATCTCAAGAGTCTTGTATTTTGATAGATCCTTTGAAGATCTTCAGACATTACAAACTTCGGGGACTGTCATATCAAGAAGAAAGCACATTTTGTTCTCGTGTTCTTTGGTCACGTTGTCTGGGTAATTATATTTGATTGTTATGTCCGTGTGTATTGTCAAGTGCCTTAACATTGTTACAGGTCATATCTCCGTAAGCGGATCTGAGTGATGTTCATACCAGTTCCTTGCATGTTCCTACCTGCAAAAGTGGCATATAAACTTGCAGATATTGGCCCACACTATCATGCCAAGTTTTATATTCGGTTGCTATTAACACTATCTATCTATCTATCTCAGTATGTTCATTATCTATCTATCTATCTATCTATCTATCTATCTATCTATCTATCTATCTATCTATCCCTGTCTGTTCATTATCTATCTATCTATGCCAGTCTCTTGGGGTCTCGTCTCAGCCAGTTCGTATCTATCTATCTATCTATCTATCTATCTATCCCTGTCTGTTCATTATCTATCTATCTATGCCAGTCTCTTCGGGTCTCGTCTCAGCCAGTTCGTATCTATCTATCTATCTATCTGATACAAGATTGTCAATTGTTTCTGGATATTCATCACAGAGTCTGCATTTGATGTCAACACAATTTTTCAGTATGTGTGCTTGGTAATTTCTAGTTCGCAAGAATTGTTCCTGTGAGCAGAAATAAACCATTTGTTTCCGCCTTTTAACCCTGCACTACGCAGCCACTGATGATTACGGGGTTTGTCTACATTAGCTTGTTTGGCACAGCAGGCTATTGACCATGAAGAGGATTATCTTGTCATCGTTTCTGCCTTTGGGGCATTGCATTTACTTTTTTTTAGGTTCTTTGCCGCTGCAGTCGTTGTATTATGTTTCACTTGCCCGTCATCACTCACTTGAAATTCCCCTTTGAATTTCCTATTACTGAATAAAGTTTCTTATTTCTTTCATGTTCTTTGACACGGATCTTCATCTCATCTTCTGTAGTTTACAGGTATATTTGAAGGCCAATTGTTGTAGACATTTCTAGTTGAACTAATCCTCTACCTCCTTTGGATCTGGGCACATACAGAAGATCAACATCAGCCTTAGTATGATGCATGCGATGGCAAGTTAGAAACTTTCTCTTTTTGACATCCATTTGCTTAATGGCAGCGATGATCCAATTAGGGATGTTGAATCTCTATTGCACCACAGGGACAGCCAAAGTGTTTTTCATCATTTAACAAAAGACGCACACAAGTGTACTATTCTTTTCTTAAATTATCCTAAATTTGGGTATGTTGTATTCCATCTCCTTCGTTGACATCTAGAAGCATCTTGTTCCAGTCTCCTAATCTTTGTGCCAAAATCTAGATTTATTGAGTGCATTTCTGTAATTCTCCCGTTCTTAAATGTTACTTTTGCATATTTATCTAATTCGAAATCTATATTGACGCCATCACTGAAACATTTTACAGTATTGAGGACACCTTTCAACTCATTGTCGTCATTGAAAAAGAGTTTGATATAATGCATGTAGAATAGATGATTAATGCTTTCTGTTCTTATTTTACTTTGTATCCATAATTATTACGGCTTTGTTCATGCAAAAGTGGGATTAAGGACAAACAGAAAAGAAGGGGTGACTGGGAGTCTCCTTGAATGATTCCTCGTCGGATATTTAAACAAGCGGAAGTGGCGGTACCTTTGCTGAGATTCACATATAATCTGGTTTTCTAAAGGTTTATGCCCTATTTAAAGAAACTTTACTATCACTGAACATTTCCAAAGTCTTAAGGATCGAAGAGTGTGGCACACTATCAAAGACTTTACGGTAATCTCTCCAAGCTCTTCTGAGGTTTCTACCTTTTGTACAGCAATTTTCCAGGATTATTATTCTTAACCTTCTTCTTCTTCTTCTTCTTCTTCTTCTTCTTCTTCTTCTTCTTCTTCTTCTTCCTCCTTCTTCTCCTTCTTCCTCCTTCCTTCCTTCCTTCTTCTCCTCCTTCCACTACAATTACTACTAATCTTCCTTCTTTCTTTATATATTTACATGACATAATCTTTTGCACCAAATACAAGTGTCAAACGATATTAATTAATAGTATTATTATAAATAGTATTATTGGTATTAATAGTAGCAGTAGTGGTATTTAATCATTCAGAATCTCAATATCTCGTAAATAATAATCTAGATACACAATAAGAAATAAAACCTCATTTCCTCTTCTTCACCCCTGTGCCGTGTTCCTTCGAGGCAGTTTAGTACTTTTTTCTTTTTTACTAACGAGATTTTCGCGTATCATTATACTTTGCTTATCCTCTAGAAGGCATATTTCGCTATACTAATGCGCCTTCGGATTTCTGGGTTTATATTTTACGTCCTCTGATTCAACATTTATGGACAGTTGTAGATATCTTGCGATAATGTTGACTCAAAGTTCTCAGATTTTACAAGTGCTTCCACAGCTCTTCTCCAATCAGTAAATCAATTCGTAAAGATGACGCATCATATACAACGTTTCCCACCCTCTACCCCCCAAAAAAAAATACAACAGCAACAAAAAACAATCCGACATTTTGACTTTCTTTCTTTTCTTCACGTTCCATGTATAGTCAGGCTATGGGCAAACATAGCTCTATCCACAAGTTTTATCAATCTGTCTCTGTTCTAACATCTATCTAATACAAAACTCGTTAAACAGGTTACTCAACGTTTTTCCTTCATTTTCTGGCTTTTTTTTTCTCTAGCAATTTCAATTGGCACCTTCTGAATGTAAGTATCATTTTCGTTTAATTTTTCAACTTTTTTAAGACATTCAAAGCTGCTACAATGGACGTCTCAGAGTTGGCGATTAAATACGAGATGATACGAGATAATACGAGATTCTCCAAAACTTTTTTCCTTGTTATGTGCTTTACAAATTTCAACTGACACTTTTTGAATGTAATTCTTATTTTTCTTTATTTTCCGAAGTTCTTTAAGACCTTCTAATTTGCTACAATGGAAGTCTTAGAGTTGGCAATTAAATACGAGATTATACGAGATAATAATTCTCCAAGCCTTTTTTCCTTATGATCTGCTTTAGAAATTTCAACTGACACTTACTGAATGTAATTGTTATTTTTCTTAATTTTTTAACTTTCTTTAAGACCTTAATGGAAGTCTGAGAGTTGGCAAAGATAATAATTCTCCAAGCCTTTTTTCCTTATTATCTGCTTTAGAAATTTCAACTTACACTTACTGTAATTGTTATTTTTCTTAATTTTTTAACTTTCTTTAAGACCTTCTAATTTGCTACAATGGAAGTCTGAGAGTTGGCAATTAAATACGAGATTATACGAGATAAACCGAGATAATAATTCTCCAAGACTTTTTTCCTTTTTATGTGCTCTATGAATTTCAAATGACACTTTCTGATTCTAAGTATCTGTGTTTTTTTTTTTTTAATTTTCCAAATTTCTTTAAGGCATTTTAAGTCGTTACGATGGTCATCTGAGCCTTCGTAAATCATTTTCACTTCAAGTTTCTTCCTCAGCTATGAAGAAGTTTCCGTGAATTCACAGCGAAATTAAATACAAGATAATACCGGATAATACGAGATAATAAATACGAGAAAATGCGAGATAATAAATACCAGTTCTGCACTCTGTACTTTGTTTTTAACGATATTTTCAAATATCTTAATATTTTGCTTAGTTTCTGAGAGCCGGCTCTCTCTATGCGTACACATCTCTTGCTTTGAGTCGTATTTACCGCCATTTGTGCTAACACTGCATCGATAAATATCAGCAGCTGCCGGATTTTGACCTCTCCAATTCGTAGCTCACAACGTTGACTCTTTTGCTGAACACCATGTATTCTGTCTTCCTACAAGTAATGGTGCATGTTTATTGCTTTCGTTTACTACCTTGTCAAAGACGGTCATCATTAGTGCTATCTATCTATCTATCTATCTATCTATCTATCTATCTATTGTGTATTTAGGCAGCAATCCTTTCTTTATATATGTTCCATTAAAGACGACAGACAAGGTACTGTGATTTTTTTTTATTTAATTTTTCTTGTGTTCAAACAAGTCTTCTGGACCCAGAGTGTGTAAAACTGTCCAATGTTTATATAATCTTTCGGCTGTATTTTAGCCATTATCAAGGATGATTTTATTTTTGTTTCTAACTGGGTGTATGTTTCTAGAGTCATAGGGATGTTTTATTTTTGCTGCTTACTCATTTTTAAAAGACCAACTCTGAATACATAATATATAACTATTTTTTTTCACAATCTTTCTCGCCAGAAATTATTTTACACATTTATAAATCTACCATTCGTCCTTGCTTTGATTATTGTTGCCATATATGGTTTGGCGCTCCTGCTAAATATTTAGAAATTCTTGATAATAACCAAGGCATAATCTATAATCTTAGTGGTCCTGTCGGCTTCTGTCATTTTCGCTTTCCTGTGCCTTTCCTATGAATACTTTCATGATAATTGATGATGAACTTTTCTCTATGGTCCCTAGACTTTGTGAATTCAAGAGCGTTACTTGATTGGTGTCTAGGTCTCATCATTTTTCAGTTGAAATGGCCAGATGTAACCGCAAGTTCTATGATAACAATATTTTTTTATCGTACTTCTCGCTTGTGAGACTCTTTTCCGACATTGATTCGCAACCAACTCTGATTCTCAATCTAATTATAATGGATACACATATTTGAGTATATATAGTTTATTCATTAAAACATTATTTTTAATAAACTATATATATATATATATATATATGTTAAATTATTTTTCATGTTTATACGTTCATTTTTAGAGATACAAATATTTAAGTAAATGCTCTGTTTATAATAAACAGTATTAACAACATTTACCGGCCTGAATGTCCGAGAAATTTTCATAGAAAATATGCGTCCGCCGAAAGGAATTGGACCTGTATCCGATACAGAACCGTCATATAGCCCGTCGTGCCTTAACCGATGGGGCCACAGAGGAGCGTTCGATTAGCAAGGTCGATTTTACTGTTTTTAAACGCAATTCTCCATGATTTTCTCCATTTCATAATGTATGACGTCATTTGTTTACATCTGGATACGCATTGAGCAGATATGAATGAATGAGAGAAAATCATGGACATTCAGTTTTATTAATACTGTTTCTTATGAACAGAGCATTTACTTAAATCTTTGTATCTATATAAAAGAACGTATAAACATAAAAATGTCTTTGTCCATTTCATAATATATATATATATATATATATATATATATATATATATATATATATATATATATATATATATATTGAGTAATGAAAAGTTTGGTAATCCGAATGGATAATCCCAAGGAGGATTTAATCCAGAGAGCTCAATGTTAAATCAGAGCAGTTATTAATTCAATTTAAATAGAAAACAGACAACCTTAAGGGACCATTGGATTTTACCTTGTTCATCAGACTGCACTTTCAATGGGGAAAATGTTTTAAATTTAAAACCCAAATTGGCTTGAAAATGAAACAGAAGTAGGTACTTTAATTCAAGTTAATTTCTATAATTGAATAGGAAGTTTGTAGTTTCTGTTTTTGAAACATGGTAATTCCTGTGTAGCGATGGAATCATATTTTTTTGAAAAAAATAATTATAATCTAGGCTCTACTTGTGTATCGAGCACTGTTTTTTTAAAAATAAAAACAAAAATACTAACGAAATTCGGATCATCAATCTAACGGTTCTTTTCCTTTTTATCAATATATTAGCACACACAAACAGAGACATATATATATATATATATATATATATATATATATATATATATATATATATATATATATATTATTATTATTATTATTAAATGGACAAAGTCCGACAAATATTTAAGACATTTTTCATGTTTATACGTTCTTTTTTACTTAAATATTTGTATTTATAAAAAGAACATACAAACATAAAAAAATGTCTTAAATATATATATTGTTGAAATTCTATTTATAATGGATACGCATATTTGATTAGATGCTCTTTTTTTATTTATATTCAAAAACTTCATGTGTCCGTATTTCAAGAAGATTTTCCTCAAGAATTTTTGCCATGGAACATTCGATTAAATTCCACCATTCTGCTTTGGCCTCTTTTTCCCCTGATTCTCTCCACCATCTTTGTTTTAAATTCTAGTAAGAATAGAATCATTGTTAATGCTTTCATTTAGGAGAAATCGTCTGCATATAAAGTCTCTCAAATACAATGAAAGTTCATGACAGTGTAGCAGAGATTTTGGGTTCCCTGTTTGGATATATAGAATATAACCTCTATTTAACGGCCATTAAGATTAACTTGGTAACCATCAATCTATAAATCCACCCAAATATTCATCCAATCTTTTAATCACCTTATAAATGATCGTAAATGTGGAGCACCTAGTAAGGATTGAACCCACATTCATAAAGAGACTTGCTTTCTAAGAATTACTCCCAACTGATGAACCCTAAATAGAGTTCATATAGCTTTACTTTATAGGATATAAACTCCTATATTTTACGGACAATAAATGAAGCAAAAACAAGTAAAAGATGCCTTCAAATAAATTTCACTATATTCAGTAGAAACGAAAACCTATTTTTATAATCCAGTACAAACACGGCTCCAAAATTAAATAAGTAATTCCTGGAACCCAATTGAATATGACAAGTCACATGATGTGTTCTCTGCAGCGAAACCTGGTTGAACTCCAAATGATGTCGTAATTTGGTCAGGGCACGGATTACATTCTTGCACAAAACTAAGATAACGATTCAGAGCCAACCCCAAAACGATAAAAACGGCTTGTCAGCAAACAGACAAAACAGATCTGAAACTGCGAAAAGGAACAATCAGTGCGCCATCCCAGCCTCGACACACGTTACCATGACAACTTCTTCATGACAACATGATTTTCTTACATACAAGTCTGTGGTGAAGTAAGTCTTGTCTCAATTTTCCTTGTTTAATGTGTTTAAAAATTACTAATATCGCACAAAATCAGTCATCAGTTGGCGTACATATTACTTCGAACTTTGCAGACTCACTTGCAAAAAAATAATTACGGACTTTGCAGACTGACTTGCAATCTTTAAACTTTGCAGACTCGCAACAATTCACATTGAACACTTGAACTATTGGTCACTTCATGGCCACAACAAAGACAATTGGATTCTAATATGTAAATATCTCTGTCTGCTGTATAAATGTTATTGTCATATTTAACTTTCTCTTCTTCCTCTTCTGCGAAGATCATTTTTTGCGTTGTTTATAATTTTGTATTGTAATTTGTGGACATGACAGATTTTATTTTTCCCCCCTAAAATCAGGGTAGACTCCAGCCACAGACTTAAAAGCCACAGACGTGTTGCGCATTGCTGTGACTGTGTGATGGTGCGATATCAAGCGATGTCTATAATTGCAAACCAGAAAGCAATGTCTCAGAGAAGTAATTAGTCAGTTCGTCTCGGAGAATAATACACTTATAGCGGTTTGGTTTCATTATGTGCGGCCTTTTGATACAGTAATTTTATACACACGCACGTACGCGCAAAATACTCTACAGTACCCAATGCAAGGAAAGACTCAATATCTTAGAAGCTATTATTAAACAAAATAAACAGGCCACCTTAAATAAAATATGATTAACGATAGGAAAGGATATCGTCAAATGCATATATCTAATATGCGCATATATATATAAATATTATTATTATTATTATTATTATTATAGGATATTACATTCGAACATATGTAACCGCTACATAAATGCATTCACGTTTCGATGCATATCAGCGCATCTCTTCAAGTAATAACCATTCATTTACCACCGCCTGATGAGATGCAATGGTATGTATCGAAACGTGAATGCATTTATGTAGCGGTTTTACATATGTTTGAATGTAGTATCCTATAATAAAGAATTATCGCTCTACTGTTGTATTGGGTCCTATTTTTAAATTAATGTTATGAAAGTTTGTATTTATATTATTCGTTCTCAATATATATATATATATATATATATATATATATATATATATATATATATATATGTGTGTGTGTGTGAAAAGTGTATATAAATATAAATAAATATATATATGTATAATTATTTATATATTATATGCATGTACTTATTAAAAGCGCTCAATATCAGAGATAGAGCTAACATATATGGTTGGATAGATGTGAGTTTGTGACCTGGGTTTCACGCTTTAGCGATCGTCAGACAATTGATTAATGTTTTAAAAAATTGGGTTTATGTAGATTGCGTGTATTGGCGTTATTGTGGAAGTGGTGGGGAAATTTCGTCGTTTTGTCATTCATCGTACTAACGCAAAAAACATCGATGTATGCAGACACATATACATACTTGGTCGTCCGTCAGGACTCATACATATATAAATATATGTGGGCAGTTTCGGCTATGACACATGTATGTATACGGGTGGTGTTATGTCTATACATACGCATTTGTATGTTGAAATTTAAACATTGGAAGTGTGGCAGAAATGTCTCGTTAATGTCTCGTGAATGTATACATGTCATATTATGTATTTTTTCGCTGAAAAATATTTCCTCGCATGTATGTATATACGTGTGGTGGGGTTTGTGTAAAATTATGATACGTAAAAATTATTATTATATTTATTTTTAAATTTTTGAAAAAAATATGGGGGTTTATTTGTTATATTTAAAGCTGGTTATTTGTTTGTTTTTGGTGACTGTGTATATGTAACAGTTAGAAATTTGTAATCCTTATTGGTTAATTTATATGGTGATGTTTAGTTTAATATTCAATGTGCTGGGTGAGAGGGTAGTTCAATTTAATAACGGGTCTATATGATATGATGTGATAGTAATGTTTCAAGGGATTGGAGACAATGATAATTAGCTAATAGTTATTGTAAATTGGTAGAAATTGTAAATTGGTAGAAATGATTAGTAACGGTAGTGGGAGAATGATAAAA